GTTTGAGGAAAGGACCAGTAAAATATCGGCCCAGATAGGTGGGGCAACTTTTGAGGGTAGGGTTCCTCCAGTTAATAATGGCTGCAGTATTTTTTTTATACTTTACTTAAACTCGATATGCGAAAGTGAGAGATTACGATTGAATATGCAGGCTTCGCTACTTGTACAAAAATAGGTTATACAGAATCGCTGGATATGCCTTCAAGGGCAGTTGGCACGATATCGCTGGATATGCCTTCAAGGGCAGTTGGCACGATAAGTCCCTAGGACGAGTAGGATTAACACGCCTGGCAGGACGGAATTCCGCGCCCTAAGCAGGCGCTGCGTAGCGCCTTTTCCAAGGAAGGTACCCTTATAAGGCCCTATCAAGCTGCAACATACCGACCCGGACGCCCACCGCGCCCGCCCGCCCACAAATGGACGACCGTACCTGATGCTCGTATTGCTTCATTTGCTAAGTAAAATATGAAGCGAAGGGATTGGTATGAAGCGGCCGCGGTGCTGCATGGATATATGAGTACATACGTGCAGCCGTATCTACCGTAGCGGTTATTGGCAAGATGCCTACGGGAAACTCGTCCGAAATCGATTTTCGAGTCATTGAGAACGAGGCTTTCTTCGCATGTTTTCGACCTTTGCATTTCGTTTTTTTTTCACCATTCTCCTGCTATGTAGCACCCTGCTATCATTTTAGACAGAGCATCAAATTATCGTGCCATATTCGTTCAAGCGGTGCTATAACTAAGAGAATCTGAGAATCTTGCTAAGAAACTTCCTTATTCAGTCCCCAATTTCTCAACTTTGAGCAAAAAAAAAACCCGCCTCTAATGTGAACGATATTTGAAGTTTAAAGATAACTATGTAACCTTGGTAATTTTTAAGCGATGTTCCGTCGAAAAGCCTTCCTTCACTGGTATACTGGTGAAGGTATGGATGAAATGGAGTTCACTGAAGCTGAATCGAATATGAACGATCTGGTTTCCGAATACCAACAATATCAGGTGATTTTTTTGTTCAAATCTTACGAAAATGCACGGAGATTCCAGTCTTCTTCGCAATGGGTACTCGGACCTGTCAGGGGGGCTCTGTTAGGCACTGTATCAACCCTTTCCCACCAGTTAGGGGGTGCAGGCAAGCGATAGCAAGTGATGGAAAGCAGGCTGGTGCTGCGCCACGTAGCCCCTCCAACATCTGCAGCAAATAAGACTTACAGACCTGTTAGTTCGTTGAAAAATTGCGAAAATATTTTTAACAGGTGGCTTAGCAGACGCCTCAACTCGAAATGTTACCCCGTCCTCGTGGGAAAGCGATTGGGCTACAAGAGTTAAAAAAAATTAAAAGTTGGTTTCAGGAAGCAACAGCCGACGAAGAAGCGGCAGAGACGTTCGAAACTGAGTGAAATCGGTAGAGTTTATCGATCGAGATGTCACCTATTCGCTTATTTCATTGCCCAGCTTTCTGCTTCATTGCCATGTATCATCGGGGGAATAAATGCTTTTTTCACTCTTGTTGAATCGTGTTGTGATCCCTGGCAAACGATAGGGCGTGTTAGGGGGCGTGACTTGAATCGCAGCTAGAACAGCCCTGCCGCCAGTTATTAGGTACTCACGATGGAATTACTGACGGAAAGGCTGCCTTGGCAGCACTCCAATACACGCTTCCGTCACATGTTCGCAAGGAGCATAACTGTATTTAACATGGTTTTTGTTTTTCAAAACAGTAATGGGAGCTCATTTCGCCGTCACTAGCTACGCATCGAACCTTTCATATGTGACGGCGTAATCGGGGCACCACAGGAACAATAGTCCATTCTGTAACAGCAAGATATGGCGCAAGGTGCAAATATCATTCGCACGTGCGCGGTTAAAGACCAAAAACAAGAAAAAGGTCCGAATTTCTCGGCCTTTTTTGCAACTGAATTTGGCGAACGCTCACAGAGATACCAGACCGTGGGAGGTGAGAGAGTGCAGGGACTGAGCGACGAACGGTGAGTCATTTAGTTCACAATATCCTGCTATATATAATCTGCTAACAAGGGAAGGATGGTAGGTCGAAGTGGCCATTTGAAATGAAATGTATACCGGCTGGAAGGTCTTCGGACGGGAATTACGAAACCGTCTTCCATATCTGCTGCGGACCTCCCAGAAAGAAGTTACGGAGCTTTGTAGTGGGAAATACACTACGATTGGCGGGGCGTAAGGCCCCGACGATCGTGGCAGCATGGCCGAGTGGGTACGTCGTAGGGCTCACGGATGCGCGGTCGAGGGTTTGGATCCTTGATGCGTGTGCCCTTTTGCATTTTTTCGAAAGTGGTCCCTGTGCACTTAAAGCTATTTTGCATAACACTTGTCCGTGATAATGTCGTGACGTAATGATTCTGAACTGATGGAGCCACTGCGAACGATTTCATGGAGATCACCTCCGGCTGAAAAGATTGTCATACGAGCCGAAAACTTCCGGCAGGTACGAAAACACTTCTGGGATAGACATAATTCAACATTATGTGAGTGGTGAATGAAGCTCTTGCCCATCGCGATCTCCAGCAGCATGATTGCCACATCAACGCCACTTCACATGAAAGCATTTTCCCACTGTACTCATCTTCGTGCACAACTGTGCGTTCGGATTCGTTTTCCAGTCATGTCGTTTGGAGAATAAATAGTCATTGAAGCAAAAATCTTTTTTTGGAATGCTGCTTTTGTTGTGTATATGCTTCTCAATCAAAGAAGAAGAGACAACAGCCAGAAAGTGGGCACTATTGAACTACCCCTACCCCAAATAACTCAAAAAAATTTTTTCGCTGAAACGTTGCCTATAGATGTAATTCAATGCGCTGATCACAAGAGTATAACATCCGTTTCGACCGCTGGCGTCATCTGGCGCCATTTGCGGGCTCAATTTGGCGCCCACCACTTTTTTCACCAAAGTTGATGAAAACTTGCATATGGGGGTCAATTGAGGTCCTGATTACGAATATCACACTGGTTTCAAGCGCTGGCGTCATCATGCGCCAATATAGCGCCGAATGGCGCGTAATGGCACCAAATGGCGCCAGCGTCGAAACGGATGTTATATTCGTGATCACTGCTTTAAATTTCATCTCTAGGCAACGTTTCAGCGGAAAAATTTTTTTGAGTGAGGGCAGGAATAGTTCAATAGTGCCCAGAAGGATGATCTCTATGGAATGGTTCGCAGTGGCTCCAATCAGTTCAGAATCATTACGTCACGACACATCACGGGTGTTATGCAAAATAGCTTTGAAGTGCACAGGGACCACTTTCGAAAAAATGCAAAAGGGCACACGCATCAAGGATCCAAACCCTCGACCGCGCATCCGTGAGTCCTACGACGTACCATCTCGCATGCTGTGGCCACGATCGTGTCAGCCTTACGCCGCCAATACGTAGTGTATTTTCCCACTACAAAGCTCCGTAACTTCTTTCTGGGAGGTCCGCAGCAGATATGGAAGACGGTTTCGTAATTCCCGTCCGAAGACCTTTCAGCCGGTATACATTTCATTTCAAATGGCCACTTCGACCTACCATCCTTCCCTTGTAAGGTAAACCAGGACAGCATTAGCTGGGGATTTTGGTCGAACCAGAACGACCCCCCTTTTTGGGGGTTCAGTACGACCCCCCCCCCCTTTTTTTTTCTTACAGTTTGTTTTTCTTTTCGAGCTCGAGCTAGGCACTAGAGCTATATGGCGGCTCTAGGTTGTAAAGGCATAAAGTGATTCCACTCAAAGTTTGGAGGAATACCTGTCAACTTTTGTGACGCAATGAATACCAGGATGTGAAGTAGCGAATGTGCTGATCCCC